ATACATGTTAATGGGCAATCAAGATCCTCTTTTAAGAGAGACCAATTCTTTGTTTAAGCTACTGTTCTCATCAAAGCAACCAGTCAAGAATACTGGTCCTATGGAGCACATTTACATGTTCACTGTACAATGGCAAAATGCAGTAAGGGTTTTATAAGTGCATGCCAAGGCACTTATGCTTGTTCTCCAAGCTCCCAGAGGTAAAAGCAACATGTTTAAGCTGGGTTTATCCTGAACCAGTTTTGACTGAACCGCTCGATCCTGGGTTGTAAGAACAACTTCGTTCAAAGTACACGGGACGAGATAGGATGAAGGAAATTGCTATGAGCTGAGTTCGGTGCAGGGGCTCTCATCTGACAGAAGACTAGCAGCCGTGGCAGGCTCTACTGCCAGGGGGCAAATAAACAAGAACAAACTGAGAACCTACTATGTGCCAAACAAGAGCTTTCTCACCTAATCGTCACACAAACCTCTTATCATGAGTTTGATGTATGTCTTGATTTACTGATGTTTAAATCATCCCAAGAAGAAATAATCTGCCCAAAGTCATACAGCTAGGAAATAAGAGAGTTTGGGCTTAAACTTGAACCTATTGACCCCCAGAGTGGTGCTTTCTCTAGCTGCTTTTAGGTAGAGGCAGGGCAGGGGAAGCATGAACTGACCCACATTCTATTTAAATGGAGATGCATGCTCACATGCCTCAGTCCCAGAACCACAGAGAGCAGCACACACTGGAAGCATTGCTCTATGAAGAGTCTGTGTCTGGGACAGGAAGGTGGCCCTCCATACATGCTGTACTCTGCTTTTAGAACAGAATTCCTTATATCTCCCCATCTCCATGCACTTCGTAATATGGTCAAGGGATTGAGTTCTACAGAAGTGGGTGTGGATAAAGGGAATGCTACCACCCCGTACAACCCTCGAGAGTACCATTCATAACACGAGGAGGCAATGAATAGAACCGATGCTGTAACCTGAAATAGAAGTAGAAAGGATGTTATAGCCTCAACGAGAAGCGGCAGTTTTCTCCTGGACCTTCTTTGGCTCCTGAGGGAATGGTGTATGAGGGGCCAAAGGCCAGCCAATGTGACAATAGATCTCTGACCCACCACCTCCAACAGTCTAGTCTTGGTCAGTGTGTGCTAGATAACTCTTCTTCATCTCCCCTTGCTTTCCTCTCAGCACCAACCACAGAAAGACAAACATGACCCTCCACCTACACATCGGAGAGCCTATGGCCAGCTTCCCAGTGCCAGCCACCTCTGCTCAGGGCACACCTTAGTCCTTCTTCCACTTCATTCCATGGAGAAGCTTTCCCTCTGACTTGGAGGCTGTGCCTAAGGCAAGGCTCCTTGCTGTAGTGGAATGCGACCATGTGTCACACCATCTTGAATTCACAAAGGTGTGAGGACCCTGCATCTCTGGTATTGAAGACTAGCCAGTCACCTGCTTTGAGATACTATCAAGAGAGAGAGGCACACTTTTCAGTCTTGTAAGGTACTGCTTTGGGTCTGGTTTCCACACCCCCACCTCATGTGCATGTCTCCTTGAGGAGGCCTCCCTCTTGGACTCAGATGAAAGAGGCAGACTTCATCTATTTAAACTGCACTAATGTGGGTCTTGTGCAACTCTGCCCTGGGGCAGCCTGAGCAAGAGGGAACATTTACACTGGATTAAAAATCAGAGTTTGCTGAGCAGACACATGTACTCTGGATTTCAGTCATTTAAACTGGGATTTTAAATGCACCTTAACATCTTTCATTTGCATACAATGATTGATATGCTAATTACAGGAGGCATACCTATTCATTAAGATGGGGCGGCTGCTTAGCCCGGGCAGTCTGTGGATGCTGGCAATGTAGAGGGATGCAGCTTATCTGCACACAGCATTCAAGATTTTTACAAATTCTTTGTGAACTCTTGGGAAGTTGAGATAAGTCTCACATTTTTCTGACTCTTTATCTGAGGTTTCTTTTATGTCCCCATGAAACTCTGTCTCTATGGTTTTGGTCAGAGTGTGGCTTAGGATACCAGGACACTAAACAAATTTCAATAGGAAATACTACAGGGTGATTTATTAACATTCACATTCAACTTGTCCTTCTGTTCACTAATGGCTCAGGGTCTGGGTTCTAGAAAGCCATGGCTCCTCATTCCTCTGCATCACATTTTCAGATCAATAGGCGTGAACTCACAGTACTCATTTTTCAGCATCATGGGCGCAGTTATCTGCTGTCCTGGAAGATGCTTGGCTCACAAGACCTGCCTATACATACCATTAACATCTTAGACTTCTGTGTCCTTTGATCCTGGTAAGTCAGATACTGCCTTCCTATGACCTACAGGCATTTAGAACTTGTACTGAAAAACAATAGTTCTTTACTTGGTCCCACAAGATACTATGGAAATTTGGCATCTCTGTCTTCATTTTGGACCTGGTTCCTTTTCTTAGGGTCACCTGCTCACCTCTGCATGCAGGCATGCAGGTGTCTATCTAGAAACACTAGATGTCTAGCTTGTCTTACTCCCCTCCAAGGGTAAAGGCACAAAGATAAGAATTGCAGAGACCTCTTAATGTCAGCGTTTTACAATGTCCTGTTCACAATCCCCGAAGGGTATCAAAAGTCTCTAGCCTTTATCTTAAGTCTGCAGTTGCTTCCAATGCCAGGAACAACATGGCCTTGCAGGGACAGCACACCACTCAGATGAGCATTACCTATGAATGGGAGGTGTTCTGGAGCAGGGGTGATTCCCATGCTCATCAGATTGCTCTTCCCAAGTGATAAGGTCTTATTGGACCATCCTGCAAAACCAGAACTGGGCAAGAGCATCCAGACCATACTTGACCAGAATGGTGTAATTATGTCTACCTGGTACCATTCTCCCTCTGTTTAAACCCGAAGCTCTAGTCAGTGCCCTGAAGATGGACTTGGGGTCATGTGGTCCCTTTTTCTGTCCCCCTTCCCAGAGTAAATATGGATCCAAACCCCTCTCTCTGCTTTTCATTATTATTCATCTTAATTGGTTTAGTGGGGCAGGAGGCCAATTGTTGGGGGCTTTTGCCCTAAAACTCTGCTAACACCTCTATAATGCTTGGCAGAGCACATGGATGCAGAGGCCCTCAGAGGTTCCCTAGTGCTTCCTGCCTCCTAGACCATGGCACCATCCAGGAAGCATACTGCAACAGTTTACTTCTTTGGCACATGCTTATCCAAGGCCCTAGTCTTCAGCATCCACCCACACACCTATCCATCCACCCATTAAACATTTGCTGTGAGACTACACTGGGTTGGCATAAAATAGTCATGATCTTCCAAAGTTCATGGCCTATGGTGGAAACACATTTAAATGTCTATCTGTTATCTTAGTATAATGAAATCTGTTATTGATAAACTACCAGATGAAAACAGAAGAGTGAGCAGATGTCAGCAGACAGAGATGGCCTTGCCAAGCAAGTGATACTTGAATGAAGTCTTATTGGGGTCCTGGTTTTCAAATGAGATGGAGATGTGGGGGGAGGGAGAAGAGCAAGTATTCCAAAGCAGAGGAAAGGGAATGGGCCAGAGTATGCAGACTTGAAAAGGGCACAAGAAAGCACGTAATTCTGGAGTGTTGGAGGAGAGGATGAGAAAGAAGCAGGAGAAGAGCCAGACGGGGGGGGGGGGGGGGGGGGGGGGGGGTTTGGATTATCTTGGGTGCCATATTGGAGGGACTGGACACCATCTTGAGAGTCTGGGACATTTAAAGCAAGACTGGGAAATCCCCACATGGGACAAGCAGATTATGCATATTAGAGAAAGGGCCTATGCAGGAGTTGGGAAGCTCAGGAGTGCAGGTCCTGTCCAAAAGTGGCCACCATTTCTCATGGTAGAGTACAGGCTTTGTGTAGACAAGTATCCATTTTTTAAAAAAGAAGCTGAAACCCCACACTTTGACACCAATACTTCCAGTTTGTAACCATTGCCAGGTATTTCAAAGCTTCATGCCAGCCAGGCAAAAACATGTCTGATGCTCCCTCAGTCCTCAGACCTTCCATTTGGTATTTTCAGTTGAAAGTATCTAAGCAGAGATATTATCCAGTCAAAATCATGTTTCAGAGAAGAAGCTGGGTCTGCAGTATATGACTTTAATCCCAGATACTCAGGAGGCTGAGGCTGCAAGACCTTTAGTTCAAGGCCAGCCTGGGAAACTTAGTAAGACCCTACTCAAGATTTAAACATACAGGAGCAGGGGAGAATCAGTAAAGCTTCCTGAGTAAGCATGAGAGCTTTTGTTTGATTCCCAACACCGAAGGTAAAAGCTGGACCTGGTGGCAAGCGTTTTCAAACCAAGCACTGGGAAAGTGGACACAGGCAGATCCCTGAGGCTTTCTGTTCAGCCAGCTAAGCCTAATTGGCAAGCTCCAGCCAACTAAGAGACTCTGCCTCAAAACCAAACAAAACAACAAAAACCAAGTGGACAGTCTACCTGAGACATAATACTCTAAGTGGCGAGCCTCAAGCTAGTGAGAGACTCTGTCTCAAAAAAACAGTGTGGATGGCCTGCTGGATGAATGACACCTGAGACCAAGCTCTGGCTTCCACAGGTCTGTGCACACATGAGCATGTACATCCACACATACATGAGCACACTCTCCACCATCCTGAACATGTATGTATACAACACACTACCTCAATAAGAAAACAAATGTAAAAATGACTGGGCTATAACTTTGTTTTAGAACACTCACCTAGCATGTATAAGGGTCTGAGTTCAATGCCTAGCCCTGATGATAAATAAATAAAATGAACACATTCTTTACAGATCTCCACGAAATCTTTCTGTCCCAGATTCCTATAGCTAGAAACCACCCCTGTCTCCACCCTGGTTTCTCCCCCCACCCACAGTCTTCACACTCCCACCCACCCCTAACTGTCTTCCCATGTCTTCCACATCATTGACTTCTTACACTGAGATTTACTGATGAATAAAGGCCTGGCTTAGAGAGAAACACTCAGTGGTAAGGACACGAGAGAGCCATATTTATTTCACATGGACAAGCATGATTCCGTGCATGTTGAACATGAAAGCTCGTGTGAAGAAAGTACCCGTAACAGCAGAATTATGTGCTTTTGTCCACAGGGAGCAGGGAGAGAGAGTCACAGAGTGCTTTTCAAAGACAGCATCCTCCAGGCACAGTGGAGACCACAGGCTTTGAAGTCACTGGCTTGTTTCATCATCACAGAGTCTGTCTCCTGGAGTGGCCAGAGAGGTGTTTTTGGCTCTGCATACTGTTGATGAGCTGCTGCATTCTGAGGAGGGTGGAGGGCGTTCTCCTATCCTACCACTCAGGGCTGCTGGGGGAAATTAAGCTCAGAGGGAAGGTACATGCCACATGGAATTAAGAAGTCCACCACTGAGTGCACAGTGATGGGATGGACTGATGTTCTCACAGCAACAGAACCATCTCCACTCAGAATATCCCCTAACATTGGGAGACCCACTCTTCTTACAGCAATTCCCCAAGGCCTCTCATGGGTGGGAGGGAGCCGATTCTAGAACTGAATGGGTATGCTAGAAGCAGGTAGACTTTTCCTGGACAGAGCAGGGACCGCCGGTCTCTTGGCCTTTACTCAGCTTTCTGGTTCCAAGATGATCCATCATAGGGTTCAAGATGGGAAGAGGGGCTGGAGTTGAGGATCAGGGTCTCTGGGAGCAAACCTCATGGGAGAGATAAGAGCCCTTGTTCCTCGGAGAGTCACTCCCACCGGAAGTCCTGCCCAACGGTTTCATAAAATTTAATATTATAAGGTCTATAAAATTCCCGGAGCTGGTCTATGACTTCAGGGTCGATCTGTACATGAGTTCTCCCTTTTGATTTGCCCAGGCATCGTGGCAGGAGTGTCGACTCTGGTTTTTTCAAGCAAGGGAATCCTTTGGTCTTGTTGAAGTAGAAGTGTTTGTCTGTGATGAATCGCTTGATGCCCAGGAAATCCTGGATGCGCCCCATCTCACCAGCCGGATCAGTGATGAGCCGCTCGCCACTGACGAAGTGGATCTGGGCCAGCGGGAAGTACTGCAGCCAGCTCTCCAGGTGCAGTGCGTACATGCCGATGCGGATGGCATTCCAAGACACATCCACTAGGCCGAGGCTGCGATTTCGGAAGGACAGGCCCTCGAAGGTGGGGATGTCCGGCTTCTTGGAAAGTGTCTGCGTGTAATCAGAGATGGCGCGGGTCACCGGGTTCCGCACCACCACAATCAGCTTGGTGTCTCGTGACATGTTGAAGATCCGTCGGGGGGCTTCTTGAGTGACGAAATAGCTGGGCGTCTTCTCTAGTGTGATCTGGGTCTCCGAGGTCCTGGGCATCAGGCTCCTGGGGACAGAAACAACACATCATCAGCGAGCATGGCTGGTTTGGTGTGCTGTTAGTTCCCTCCACTCATGCAGGCCTCTCTCCTGCCCCATTTGAGTTTCTTACTTGGTGAGGAACTCCCTTCAACTCATGTTGAATTTTAAAAGCATATTTAACAAAGGCTTCTTTAAGGCAGAAACAAACTGAATATCTGTCACTATGGGTTAAACAAATTGTTTAACCAACCAGTAGTGGATTTACATGTATTACTATGTAATGATCTCTACCATACAGCAAGCCTCTGTATCCATGGGTTCTACAGCCAGAGATCCGACCAGTTGTCAATGGAAAATATTTGGGGAGGCCAGGCAAGTATGATGGCCGGAGTTTGAACCCCTAGAATCCATGTGAAGATGGGTATCTGTATGTCTGTGAATACCAGCACTCCTATGCAAGATGGGCGGAGTAGAGACTCTCTGGAGGCTACTGGGCAGCTAGCTTGGTATACACAGCAGAGAAACAAAAGGCAACCTGCCTCAGAGTGGAAGATGAGGAATGGTACCTGAGCCTGTCCTCTGCTACACACATACACACACACACACACACACTATACATGCACACATTGTACATGCACATACACACTGTACACACAGACACACACACTGTTGACCCATTCACACACACTGTACATACAAATATACACTAGACACTCATATACACACACATACACACTGTACGCACACAAACTAAAAGTATTTTAGGAAAAGGTATACGTGCTAAATATATACAAATGTTTCTTTGTATACAATATTTATGCTGCATTATGTACTATAAACCAGTCACCTAGAGATGATTCCAAGACTACATGAAGGGGAGTATGGGCCACACACAAATACTACACCATTATATAAGAGTCTTCAACATCTATAGAGTTTGGAATTGTGGCAATTTACACCAAGGATGACCCTATCCTTCATAATAAAGAAAGGCCAGGTATGGCCTCTTGTCTCAGGAAGGAGACCCAGGACTCTGGTAATTGCAGCTAGTGCTGTGGGGGGAACTGTATGTGGGTGGGGAGAGCCAGGCAATCGGGGATAAATGAGAATTACATTTGATTGTATAATCTTTTACGCTGCTTGAAATTTTTAATGTGTTTATTATGTATTCAGAAAGATACAAAGTAAGCCGTTGAGTATTATCCTGGCAAAAAATATATTTCTTCAAATATATTAAAATCTTTTTTTTTCCTGAGGAGCAAAAAGCTTGTTTTTGCAAGAATAGCAACAGTTATAGAAATGAGTTCTGACGTCTTCTGTGGAAGAACATCTGAATTACACCCTTTGTGTAGGCTGCATGAAGCAAAGACCTCTCCAGGCTGGTAGCAAGCTCCGTCAGAGCCAGGCAATGCAGCCCTCTTCCCCTTGGTTTTTAATTTTCTGGCTCTGCTTGGGACTTCAAGGGACGAGGGTAGCCACTCTGCAGTCTCTGGTTGGTCCAGATGTATCTCTCTCCAGTCATGATGAAGAACACCCCTAGTTCCCAGTTGCTACTATTTTTTGAAGGTCATGTTTTGTCTTTAAACCAGCATTTCTTGCTGCGGACTGCACTTGAACATTATTACATAAGGATGTAACTTCTTCTTTCTTCCTGGTTCCTTCTTGGTTAGTTCGTTTCTTTCTCCCCTACACCTCTATTTAAATAAAGATCTCCAAGGTTCTTTCTATCCCAAACTAATCAATTCACAGCATTTTGGGCTAGGTCTGTTTTAAAGCTGTTCTAAAATTCACACAGAGTCAGATGAGGCCAACAGGAAAGCATCAGAGTTAAGACAAACCATCTCCTCAGTCTTATTACCCTCCAACAGTGCACTTCATAGCCCCCAACACACCCCTCCTCACACTTCTCGGTGTCACAGACTCTCCATTCCCAGCATCCTCCCCGCCCCGACCTCCTATCACCTCCACCTGGCCTCACAGCTCTCCAGCTTCTTCTGTCACCAGTTTCGCTTTGCTTTCCTCTAGAGCAGAGGTTCTCCACCTTCCTAAGGCTGCTGCTCTTTAACACAGGTCCTCAGGTTGTGGTGACCCCCCAACCGCAAAGTAATCTTGCCACTGTAATGAATCGTAGTGCAAATATCTGTGTTTTCTGATGCTCTTAGGCGACCCCTATGAAAGGGTCGGTGATTCCTCCCAAAGGGTCGCGCCCCACATGTTGAGAATCACTGCTTTAGAAAACTCTTACAGTCAAACTTTGGGCCTTGTCTTTGAAAGTGTCACCATTCTAAAATGTTTCACCCTGCAATTTATTTTAGGGCCATGAAATGAGTTTAGTGAGGACTCGCCCAAAGACATATCCACCTAGAACTTGTGAGTGTGAGTGACTACTGGGGGAAAGAGTCCATGAAGATGGAAAGGTGAAGTCCCGCATCCTGGATGTGTGGGCCTCAAATCCACAGCAGTCACCTTAGACACATAGGGGACAGGGTAAGCCGACACAGTAAAGCTGTAACCCCGAAGGCCAAGAACAACACAGCTGTCACCAGAAGCTATGACAGGCACAGAGCAGGGCTCCTTCCTTCACGCACATGAAGGTGACTGACCCTGTTAGCAATCTGACCTCTAACACCAGGGAAAGAATCTCTTCTGCTGATTCAGTGTTACCTGGCTTCCAGTCTGTTATGGCCAGTAACCAGTCCAGGAAATGACTGGTTACAACTTTGTCTCCTTTTACCTTTACCACAGTTCCAAACTCATTATACCTGTCCTCAAATTTATCTATGAGCCTCTTTGTGGGGGCCCACAGAGGCTCCCTAGTAAGGCCTTACTCAAGGTCAGAAAGTCTGAGCTTGCTTGGCCCCAGCAGGGCTGCATAGTGAGGTGATTTGGCCAAAGGTGTGGGTACCAGGTGTTTTGAAGGGTCTACACTTGTTGGTACCTTATACCTTGACCTTGGAAGGGGGAAGTCTTTTGCCCCTCCCCTTGCTGATGCATAAAAGGCCCGTTAGGAATAAAGTCTGGGCAGTTGGGTATTGACCCAGGGCCCTTCTGAAGCTATCCTGTGTCTCTGTCTTTCTTTGTCCAGGTTTATATTGCTATTTAACACTTCCTCATTCCTCTCTTCTCCCCCGACCCCCAAGAACCCTTCAACAGGTCGGAGCTGGTCTCTGACACCTCTTGGTTTCACTTTCGTCTGTATTCTGGACCCAGTGGGCAATAATTTCAATATAATCACCATGTATCACTTGATCTCTCATTCTCCAACAATGTAGCATTCCAACTGTTCATGCTTTCCAATTCTGTGCCCAAATTTCCAGCCAGCAGACAGAATTGCCTTCAGTCAGTTATCAGTTCCAGCTTTGGTTGACTCTCCAGCTGTGTGTTTGTACAGCACCCCCTGTCATTCTGCAATGGTTCAAATTCTCACTGTAAGTCCCCAACCTTGCTTCTCTTACCCACTCTTAATATGAGATTAGTGTCCCCCACACAAGAAAGGTATAAGCTCTCAAATCCCAATTCTTTTAGTTTTCCTCTAACCCATCTTGAAACTGACCCTTTTCTGGGGCCATCCCCAGGCCCTCTCACAGGTCCATCTGTGAGAAAAAGGTATGCTGGCTTCATCCTCTTGGTCCACCTGTGAGAACAAGGCTTTCTGGGCTCATGGTCCACCTGTGAGAGCAAGGTGTGCTGGGCTCATGGTCCACCTGTGCTCAGCCCATTTCCTCAGACTTCTCTGAATACTCATCCTTAGGCTCTACATTTACTGTGCAGGAAGGCCAATATTTTTGTTTTGAGACCCAAGGTCTGTATCAACCCATATGGGATGAAAATTTTAATAGTGGTTATTAGTGAAAGGACCAAGCAGATGCCATAACAGGCTGTCAGTCTTCTCTCAGAGATCAGGCCTCAATTTCAGTTTCCTGAGACTCAAGCAAGCAGTTTCTGCAAGGGCCATAAACAAAAGACATAGTCCTTGCAGTAGCTCCCTTTCTGCACGTACTCTGACTGCTCAAGGTTCAACCAGTTGTTTACTGTCTGGGACCCCTCACCAACTTAGAGCTACAAGTATGGGTCAATGTGAACCTGTGAGGCCAGCCAGCCTCCATGGCAGCTCAAGGACAGAGCCTGGGACTTGTCCAGGCCTGCCCCCAAAATGATAACTGTAACCCCCAACCAGTAAATTCAAAGGTAACACATCCTCACCCAGTCATATGATGCCAAGGCTTGTACCACCCTGCTTGCAGTTTTTTCCTTTAAAAACCCCTCACCCTGAGAGCTCAGGGCTGTCCTCCTCCTCCCGCTGGGTCGAGTGTTGGATGTGGACCAAACCTGGGTTTGCTTCTTATCGATAACCATCTGTGTGTTTTGTATCAGATATCAGCTCTGTGGTGGTCTTGCTTGGGGTGGGGGTGTCTCATGATGAGGCCACAACATTAGTATGGAGTGGGCCAAGTTTTAAATGTGGGATATCAAGCCCAATATGGTAGCATGTCTGCAATCCCAGAACTTGGAAGGCAGAAACAGGAGGATTATGAATTTGTGGGTAGCCTGGGCTACATAGTGATACTCCTCTGTCTCAAAAGAAGAGAGAAGGGATGAGGGAATTAAAACAACCCCAAATGCATTTCAATAGACTCTTCAGACGGAGTTTCTTAGATATAAACTTGGTATACATTGTAATTAGACAGGTAGGGGTGTATGATGAGGGTAGACATAGTGCACATATGGCGCAGGACACGTAAACCACCTCTAATGTTCTTCCAAACTCTGTGGGTGTAATTGATGCAAAGGTTTCCCCCAGCATAGGACTTGGTGCTTGACAGGCCATTAAATGTATATCTTTGCAATATCCTTTAGTGCAATAGGGAATGTCTGAGAAGGAATCCGTGGAGGCAGCATTTCTCAAGCTTTAGTAGGCCAACTGTGAACTCTGCCCTCAGCATCCATTAACATCTCCCCCTTTACTAGTTTAGAAAATTCTGACCAATTCTGGTGACGTCCAAAGTAGCACAGCATCCCCCAGCTGGACACTAATAGAGACTCCACCATTCCAGTTCCTAATAGGCACATCAGTTGCAAAACCAACATGATCCATGCTAAAATCAAGGGGCATGTGCACCTGCTGTGAAAGCATGAGGCTCTGAGTTTGGATTTTAATAACTACAAAAATTTCCAGGTGTGACTGAGCATGCCTGTTTTCACAGTGACATAGAGGCAGCCGAGACAGGAGGATTGCTGGGGCTTGCTGGCTGCCAGCCTAGCTCTAGGTGCAGTAAGAGACCCTATCTCAAGGGAATAAGGGGTAGGGGAGTGTTAGAGCAGGGCAGCCAAGGTCCTCCTCCAGCTTTGTCACACACACACACACACACACACACACACACACACACACACACACACGTACATACACACATAGGCATCCATACTTGCATACATGAGCACATCACACACACACACACACACACACACACACACACACACACACACACACACACACACACACACAAGCCAGACTATAAGTTCACAGTAGTCATGCCCCTGTGCCCAGCAAATCATTTCTTTTTACATCATTGGAACAGGTCACGACCTGTGATAATACTGTGGGGAGAGGCTGGATGTCCACCTCTGTGCTCTCCACACACGGGTGGGGACATGAGCCTGCACCTTGAGGTCTGCTTTTTCTTCTTATACCACAGATGAAATTTTGCTTGTTTACAGTTTCTAGCAAACAGCAGAATGCTTCTCCTACTGCATATCCCTCTTGAGTCTCTGTATCCCTTCTTTTTTACATAGTGCTGGAAAAAAATACCAGGAGACTATTCCTACACTTGCTGTTTGGACTTACCCCCCATCTGTTGTTTTAACTTGCTCAGCAAGGATTCTCCCTACAGCCAGTCACAGTCTGGATTTTTCTTCCTGGAACTGAACTGCCCCTCTTGCTTTGGACAGTCTTGCACACACCTGTATTTGTGTGTGCGTGCACACACACACACACACACACACACACACACACACACACGTGTGCGCGTGTGATTTTCCTACATGTATGTCTATGCACCATGTGTTTGCAATGCCCATGGAGTCCAGCAGGGGTCGTCTGATCCTATGGAACTGGAGTTACAGATGGTTGTGAAACCCCAAGTGGGTGTTGGTTGAACTTGGGTCCTCTGGAAGAGCAGTCAGTGCTCTGAACTGCTGAGCCATCTCTCCAGCCCTTCTCTATATATTTGAGATTT